AAGAACAAAATACCATCGTTTTAATGCAATTCCCCTCAACAAATTCCAATACATTGCATTAAAGAGATTCGAAAAAGTCCTAACCATTAAAGTTTATATGAACACAGGAAGCCATGAATAGCCAAGGCAAATACTCAGTTCCAAAGAACAATGCAGGAAGGTTTCACAATACCTGACTTCAAACTATATTTACAAAGCAATAACAATAAAAACAGCCTGGGACTGGGCACAAAAACAGACATGGAAGACCAGTGGGAACAGATAGAGGACCCAGGATATGAACCCACAAAACTAGTACCAACTTGTCTTTGACAAAGGAGCTTAAAAAATGTACGATGGAGAAATAGCAGCCTCTTCAACAAAATCTGCTGGGAAAACTGGTTAGCAGTCCCTGCAAAAAACTGAAAACTAGATCCATGTATATCACCTATACCAAGACATTTACTCCAAAAACGGATGCAAGGATCTTAATATCATTACCAACCAACCTCTAAAGTTGATACAAGAAAGAGTAGGAAGTAACTCTGGGAGTTGTAGGGAATAGTAACGAACTTTCCTACAAAACCTCACGCAGCAACAGCAACTAAGGAGATTAGCAAATAGATAAATGGGTACCTCAAAAAGCTAAAGCTTTCTGTTTCATAAAAGAAATGGTCTTCTAAACTGAAGAGACAACCCACAGAGTGGGAGAAATATTTGCCAGCTATACATCAAAGGACTGATAACCGAATATATAGGGAACTTAAAAACTAAATTCTCCCAAACTAATGAACCAATAAAAATGGCAGTGAACTAAACAGAACTTTCTCAAAAGAAGAAATCAAATGGCAAAAAACACATGAAAAATGCTCACCATCTCTAGCAATAAAGGAAATGCAAATTAAAACCACACTAAGATTCCACCTCACCCTGTTAGAATAGCCATCATCAGCACACCACCAACCAACAGGTGTTGGCGAGGATGTGGGGAAAGGAACCCTCTTACACTGTGGTGGGAATGTAACTAGTACAACCACTCTGGAAAAAATTTGGAGGCTACTTTAAAAAGCTGGACATCGATCTACCATTTGATCCAGCAATACCACTCTTGGGGATATACCCAAAAGACTGTGACACAGGTTACTCCAGAGGCACCTGCACACCATGTTTATTGCGGCACTATTCACAATAGCCAAGTTATGGAAACAGCCAAGATGCCCCAGCACTGACGAATGGATTAAGAAAATGTGGATCTATACACAATGGAATTTTATGGAGCCACGAAGAAGAACGAAATGTTATCATTCGCTGGTAAATGGATGGAATTGGAGAACATCATTCTGAGTGAGGTTAGCCTGGCCAAAAGACCAAAAATCGTATGTTCTCCCTCATATGTGGACATTAGATCAAGGGCAAACACAACAAGGGGATTGGACTATGAGCACATGATAAAAGCGAGAGCACACAAGGGAGGGGTGAGGATAGGTAAGACGCCTAAAAAATTAGCTAGCATTTGTTGCCCTCAGTGCAGAGAAACTAAAGCAGATACCTTAAAAGCAACTGAGGCCAATAGGAAAAGGGGACCAGGAACTAGAGAAAAGGTTAGATCAAAAAGAATTAACCTAGAAGGTAACACACACGCACAGGAAATCAATGTGAGTCAATGCCCTGTATAGCTATCCTTATCTCAACCAGCAAAAACCCTTGGTCCTTCCTATTATTGCTTATATTCTCTCTACAACAAAATTAGAGATAAGGGCAAAATAGTTTCTGCTGGGTATTGAGGGGGTGGGGGGAGGGAGGGGTGGGGTGTGATTATACAGATCAAATAATCACAACTCTTTGGGGGTGGAATTTGGGGAGCTCCTCCAAGCCAACTCTTTCTCTCTAGTGGTTGCTGCTGTTGGTTTTCGAGGCTACAGCCCAGCAGGAGAGAGGGGCTTGGGGACAGGGCTCACTACCATGACATGACAGTGTTATTACTGCAATTTAGTTGTTTTTTTCCTAGAATAAACATGTCACAGATTGTTGTAAGTCTCTTGTTAATTTCCATAGTGCTGGACAAGTCGATTTTGACCATGTCATGGGTATTTTTCTTGCTCTGAAGGAGGAGTGGCAGACATTTGGAGGTCCTACTGTACTGTTTTCAACAAAATGGTTTATATGCTCATCCATGGCATAGTGTGCCATCGTGGAGGTTCACATTTTGTCGTTCCATTTGTCACTTGATGGACAGATTGTTTTCAGAATTGTGAATGATACTGCTGCAAACAGTCCTATACAAGTCTTCTTTCCATATTTCCTGAGTTGAATTGTTTGGCCCATACAGAAGTTTTATGTTTCATCACTTTTTGAGAGACAGTTGAGCTATTTTCCAGTGGCTGCACCATTTTACATTCCCACCCGTATGTATTAGTGTTCATTTTCCACAACCCTCTCCATATTTATTTTTGTCTCAGCCATTGAGTGGATGTGAAATGACTCATATATATTTCTCACATTTGTGTGAATATGTGGAATTTTCATGATAAAAATGTTTTTTTAAAACTTGTATTTTTATAGCACCTTAATATTTATAAAAGCACCTTCATAGGGCTTGATTGGAACAGTAATGGTGCAAATTAAGGCAAAGGCATAGGAGAATGAAGAGTGGGTGAAGTTAAGTGACCAGGGAAAATGTGTGGCTCCTAGGTGACAGAGCTCAACACATGGACGACCAACCTCTACCTTTTTCAACAGCCCCCAGAAAGGAGGCCCTACATTTTTAGAGAAAGAGATGGTTTTTACATTTTCCAGCTTCTTTAACTTTCCTAAGCGAACACCAGGATGGTATGGAAACAGTAGTTCATATCTCCTTACCGACTGGGCACTTGCGGTACTTGTGGATAGTGGCAGCAGATGATGGACTGAAATAAGGAACAAAGAAAACTGGGAAACACGATTGGCTCCAGCAATCAATGTGAGGATTTATTTACTCATTTACTAACTAAATAAAAGATAGTTCTTGTCCTCATGGAAATTATATCTTAGCCAAGGGAGACACATAGGGATCAGGATAGCTAAGTGGGGTAGAATATCGTAGCCGATGGCAAGTCCTGGGAAAACATTTAGGTAAGGAAGGGGTAGGGAATGCTTGCAGTGGAGGTGGGGGAAGGGGACTGAAATTTTAAAAGGCAGCAAGGATCGGGCTCACTGGCAAGGTGACATGTGAACAAAAGAGGTGGAGAAATTACTTGAAGGAGGAGGGGCACTGGACCTGGCAGTGTGGCCAGGCCCTTGCTGGATCAGACAGACCCTGCCAAGTCCTAATCTTGGGCAAACTTGGTTTGCTGGGATGCAGCAAGTAGGACTTTGAGGCAACAGAATCATTGCAGGACATGGAAAAGAGTGGCAGGATCTGACTGAGTGTTACTGGGATTACTCCACCTGCTATTTTTAGAACAGATTGCCAGGTACAAAGATGGACTTACAGAAGAACAGTTGTGAAGTGATCACTGTTATCGCACGAGGACGAGGTGCCTGAGACAGTGGTGGTTGTAGTGATGGTCAGGGCAGATTTCAGGGATGAGAACAGCAAATGCTCCCGTCTTGAGTGTTCGTTGTGCACGAGGAGCTCTGCTTAGCACACTGCAAACATCATCTCACTTAGCCTCTCAACAAACTCTTACTGTAGGCACAATCATTTCTGCTTAAATAGATGGTGAAAATGTCAGATAATATGACCAAGATAGAATGCTTATAGCTAGGATTGGATTGAACCCGTTTGACCCCAAAATGTTGACAACTAACTATGTAATACTAAATTCTATGAAATTAAAGAAAATTCATAAAGGTACTAAGAAATGGAACACTGCTGTTAAGGTCAGAAGCCAGCAATTAACCACTAAAAATGTAATTTGTTAAGTTATCCAATACATGGGTGAACCAAATTGTTTTGGAATTTTTAAAGCTGTATATAGCCCTGTGACAGGTAAAACAGGTCAGTATTATTCTTTCTAAAATAGTTCCAAATGCATATGTTGATTGTATTAGAATAGGAGCTGTGATGGGCAAAGAGACCCACTTCCTAATTCCAGGAATGTGAATGTGGTACCTTTATGGCAAATGGCCTTTGCAGATGTGACTTGGGAGAAGCAGATTGTGGGCTCAATGTCATGGAAAGGTCCTTTCACAAGGAGGCAGGAAGGGCAGAGTCAGAGATGGAGCCATGACCACAGCAGCAGAGGCTGGGTGATGTGGAACTGTGAGCCAAAGAATGCGGGCACCTTTAGATGCTGGACAAGGCCAGTGATAGGTGCCCCCTGGAGCCTGCAGAAGGAGCACAGCCCTAACAGCCCTTTGATCTGAGCCCAGGGAAACTCCTGGTAGATTTCAGACTTCTGAAATGGTTAAGATAATAAGTGTGTGGGTTTTAAAGCCATTAAATTTGTGATGGCAATAGGAAACTAACACGGAGATATAAAACAGATCAGTAAGCCCTGGCTAACTGAGCAAACCCTCTGCTGTGTAAGTAACTCCAGCAACATTCCCCGCCACTCAGCATTCATTCAAACATCCTTCGGTACTTCACGCACAGTGTTCAGCCCAGGGTTCAGAGATGAGCTAATCACAGTCCAAACTGCTAAAACCTGGTATTCAAAAGGCGGAATCCTGTCAATATGAAATCTGAACACATTTTGGAGATTTTATTCAATTTGCTAATTACTGAGGCAATCTGTAAGCGATCAAGGCTACTTCGAGGGCATTTGAGAAGCTGTGTACTTTTGGACAATTTAGGGTAGAAACAGAACTGGCTAAAGTACAGGCCAAAGAGCCAGCGTTTATGTGGTTAGCCTTTCCTCTGAACAGAAGATATTTGTATCTCTACTGGAAAAAAAAATCTATGTTAACAAGTCTTCACCAAGTCTGGGAACTGTACTCAATACCCCTCGGGCCTTTCCTCCCTCTCACAAGGAAGGAGATTTCAATCACCTTTTGTCTTGTATCCAGTTTTGAATATTTTTTTCTTGACTTGCTCCCAGTCTGGTGACTTCAGATCATATGCAGGTCGGAAATACAGAGAAAAGGTAAGTAGAGTCTGATGTCACAAGGGAGGGGAACAGTGCTGGCATAGGACATCCATGCACATCAAGTTTCATGATAGCCCAGAAACGGGAAGTAAAGTTAAGAGACACTCTGACCAATCAAAACCCTTTACACTAGTGCTGCGATTCACTGAAGAAAGAAGATAGGAAAACAATTTAAAAGTACACAATTCTGATGAAAAATGCAAAGAATCAGCGAACTGAGGATCAAAATAAAACCAGTATTCCTGGCAGTAGTTTAATTTCACACATAGTAGCTTAACACTCAATGTAGAATTGGTTATCTGTCATGTTTTATAAATTATCCCAGAAATGTAACTTGTTAAAGTACCAGAAAGTGTCTATCTCAAGGAAGGATTAGTGGAAAATATCTTCATCATAAAAGCCTATCCAGTTAAAAATTTCTAAAAATTCATTAAGGATAAGTAATAAAAAGACAATAAACCTAGACCAGGTTCTCATGGAAATTTGCAAAATAATTTAATAATGATGGGTGAATTATGAATAGGATTCACACTCTAATGCAATCTTATAATAGAAACAATTCTCTCATCATTGTAACACATCTATGTTTAGGTAAAATGTCTCAGCTTGCCAATATAATCCAGATTTTGTAAAAAACAAACAAGAAGCTTTGAAAAGTTACTGTAAAGTTTTACAAGATATCCTGGAGAGGTGCACCACTACTTATGAAGAATTCTGAAGTTTTGACATTTTTGTGGTCCCTTATAAGGCTCGTATCAGTGCCTGAAACAGACACTTGACTGTGTAACTGTCTTCTCGACAAAACTGAGGACCTGCCTTTAGTTTCATGACTGCAGCGTGACCCGCATGGCGAAGGCATGCAGTTCTGGTCTGAACCACCAGGTGGCGCCGCTCCGCCATGAAAACGGTGGGGACCCGAAGCCCGCCGACCGCGCTGATGCGGGGCAGCCTCGGGGACGCATCGCTGGGCCGAGCGTCGCACACGCGTGCTCAGCCTCGCAGCGACGCAGTCACTCTGTTCACAGGGGCCTGGGGGATGGAGATGTGAGGGCTGTTGCAATTACCCTCGGTGGAGCCACGAAACATGGCACCGCCGAATACCGCCTCAAAAGCAGCGCGCATGTCATCGAGGCTTGATTTAGGAAAGTTAGAAGGCGCAGACGGTCAAAAGGACCGGAAAACTGCGATCGGTCAACAGAGCTTTCACAGGAGCTAGGTGGTTTGCTTCGGTGATACGGGAAATCTAGAAAACCAAAAGGCTGAAGTGTGGACCCTGTCTGTCCTTCTGCGGCGGTGCCCTACTTCCCAGTGTCCCCTCGCTCCTGTCCGGGGTTTCAAGCACGTGGGTTTCTGCCGCTAGGACTTCCTCGGCACCGAGCTGTCTGACCACCTCTGGCCGCCAGGTGGCGGCAGTGCTGCGGCCTTCGGTCTGCAAGAGAAAAAACCGCAAGCGCCCCTCCTTTTAACTCCTGTAAGCAGGAAGGTGGGAAAACGGGGCATTTGCCGATATCTTCCCTAATTGCGAAGCAGGCTGATAAGCCCAGCGACAACAGCTGTTAGTTGAATTATGGATTCTTTTGAGAGAGCGACATCCCCAACACGTTAAATGATGCAAAGGATGATTTTAGGTGAAAAATATACTTACCTTCAGAGCACTGAAAAAAAAGTGTTTCAGAAGTGTTGGAGTCAAACAAGAAAAGTGTTAGACCAATCTTCAGGATTCATTTGGCTTACATTTCTCCCCCCTTAACGTACCAAATTAAAGTATTAAATAAATCTTTGTCTAGTGTAGTCTAAGTGAGTTCTTTCAAGAATTATTTATGGATATCCTATGTGATAATTGTGTCTTAGTTTAAGTGGAAAGAATCTTTTTCTTTTTGTTTTATAAACCGTGCATCTCATGGAAAGGATATTTAAATGATATGGAACAGAGGAAGCCAATGTTAACCTAGTTATTCTTATACTAACCAACACTGTACGAGTTAGAGTTCACCCGCTTAGTGCTATAAGACACAAAAAGGACAGTACCATGCCTGCTTGATGGTACTGAACCTTTCTAATGCTTGGTTTCCTGCCTGTAAAAGGACGATGACAGTGTCTGTCTCTTTTGGAGATAATTCATTTGACTCGCTTAGCATTGTTTCAGGAACATGATACACAACCAGTAAGTGCTCACAACCACTGATCATTAGACGTTGCAGTAAATGGACATTATAAAAGTCATAATTTCTTCCACGAATTCTGAACTCTACTGCATATCATATGCATAGTTGTCAGAAAAGTCTTGTCGCTCTTCTCCAATCTTCACATCAGAAATTGGGGCCTCCATCAATGTGCTCACCCCCTGTTATTTCATGGTCTCACACATCATCCCTAGCCGGTACCCTCAAGTTTACACCTCCGTGCTGGACTGTTTCCTGAGTTCCTGAGTGCATCAAACAGCTAACTCAGAATCTTTCTGGAATATTTCTTGAGTACCTTAAACTTGATAGGGTCCAAATAGATCTAACCTGTTTTCATTTCACTTTCCCCAAACCAACCCCATCAAAACAGCCCCTTCTCAGCAAATGGTAGTCCTGATCCAAATGCTTGAGACAGTATTCCTCTTTCCCTCTTCTGGATGCTCACTTCTGCAGTACTCCTGTAGATGGTTCCAACATCGGGATGGATATTGACTGACCACTTGTCCACACCTCCTCTGTGTAAACACCAGTCTTCCCCAGCGTCACCTCTTTCTGCCTCCTGCAGCTGCCATGGCCTCCTTGCCTTCATCCCAGGACAGCTGGAAGTGATCCCGCCAAGTGTAAATCAGATCATTCCTGCCCTGCTTCAGATCCTCCAGCGGCTCCTCTTAGTGTCAGGATAAAGTGCAGAGACTTCGTTACAGCCTATGAGATTGGACATGACTCCATCATCCCCATTTTCCCCCTTGTTTCCCGTGTCTCCCAGCCTTGTTTCCACCTCACTGAGTTCATTTCAGGAACTTGCACTGTCTGTTCCTTTTGCTGTCTTTTATCCTCTTTATGATCTAGGTCGTCCTTTCATGAGTGATGGTAGTCCTTCGTTAGTAATTCTTCTACTGAATTACTGTATCTTATCATTTTTTGCTAGTGCCTGAAAATTTTACCTATCTCATTTTTTTTCTCGCTCTCCATGTGTTTATCTGTGGTGTGTTTACATTTTGTCTCCTCTAGGATAATTGCTCTTGAAGGGCTAGCTTTAGCCTCTGAGTAATATTGGAGCACAGTGGGAATTAACCTGGGGAGGGGTGTCAGCTGCTGGGCTGCTGGATAGTCGGACAATCTAGGAAAAGGAAAAAAGCAGCGAATTGGGATAAGAAGCTGATTTGAGTGGGCTGGAGGTGTGGGTGCCTAGACAGTGGGAGGTCCTGGGTACAAACCACAGCACTGCCCAAATAAATAAATAAATAAGTAACAGAAGCCCTGATTTGATTGTTTGCTATTTTTACTCATTGTTGCTTAACTGCATCAGAACTTTCCAAAAGACTGGGAATAAAAATTAGTAAACACATAAAAAAAGGCAGTGAGACTGAGAATACATTATTTTTCCCCGTTGGTTTCTTTGTTGTTAACATGAAACCTATATATATATATATATATATATATATATATATATATATATATATAATCAACCACTTTCAATAAAGGGGCCAAGATAATGAAAAGAACAACCTTTAAAGTGCTGGAGTAACATTTGGAATATTTGGTTCATTTGGAAAAGTGAACCCCACACCATACACAAAATCTGAACTCAAAATAGATCCTAGTTCAAATGTAAATAATGCAACTATAACCTGTTTATTTTTCTTTTCTTTTATTCATATGTGCATACAATGTTTGGGTCATTTCTCCCCCCTTCCCCCTACCCCCTCCCTTCCCCCCACCCACTCTCCTCCCCCCAACCCCTCACTACCAGGCAGAAACTATTTTGCCCTTATCTCTAATTTTGTTGAAGAGAGAGTATAAGCAAAAATAGGAAGGAACAAGGGTTTTTGCTTGTTAAGATAAGGATAGCTATACATTAATTGACTCACATTAATTTCCTGTGCATGTGTGTTACCTTCTAGGTTAATTCTTCTTGATCTAACCTTTTCTCTAGTTCCTGGTCCCCTTCTCCTCTTGGCCTCAGTTGCTTTTAAGGTATCTGCGTTGAGGGCAACAAATGCTATCAAGTTTTTTAAGTGTCTTACCTATCCTCACCCCTCCCTTGTGTGCTCTCGCTTTATCATGTGATCAAAGTTCAATCCCCTTATTGTGTTTGCCCTTGATTTAATGTCCACATCAGGGAGATTACTAGTGATCTTAGGGAAGGTAAATATTACTTAGCTAGAACACAAAAAGTATGGGATATAAAAACATTGATAAACTTGACTTCATTACAATTAAGAATGTATGTTCTTCAAAAGTACTACCATAACAAGAAAAGGTATGCTAGAGGCATGGAATATCGTCAAGATGTATATCAGACAGAAGACTTATTTAAGTAGCTTAAATTATTAATAAAAGATAACCTAATGGGGAGAACTGGGCAAAAGATCTGAACAGAAGGTGAGCAGATGGCAGTATGCATGAAAAGATGCACACTATCATTCGTCTTCAGGAAAATGTGAACTGAAATTACAATAGGATACCATCTCACACCCACAGGAAAAGCTAGCACTCCAAAGTGTTGGTGAGGCTGTAGAACAATTAGAACTCTCATCCATTCCTGGTAGAAGTATAAAAGAGGGAGTCTACTTTGAAGAACAATTTCTTACAAAATGAAGCATACATTACCCAGAAATTTCACTCTCAGGTGTGTACTCAGGCTATATCAAAACAAAGACTTGTTCATGAATGTTGTTAACTCATAAAAGACCCAAACTGAAAACAGCCATAAACAGGTAAAGTACAGATATACTATAGTATCTTATATCCATACAACGTAGGCAAGGAATACCACTTAACATGAAAAGAAAGGAGCTATTGCTATGTGCAGCCATGTGGGTGAACCTTGACGATGTGGTGTGGAGTGGAATAAACTAAACACAAATGTGCAGTGCCGTATGGTTTCTTTTACATGCAAGTCTAGGAAAGGTAAAAATAAGCATCAATGGTGCTTAGAGCTGGGCTGGAGCAGGGGGAAGCTTTGTGACTGAATAAATACATTGAACACCTTGGTTGTGTTGGTGGTTGCACACACACACACACACACACACACACACAAACCACATCACATTGGACACTTAGAATAGGTGCATTTTTGTATACAAGTTATACCTTAATTTAGATGATGTACAAAGAAAGAAAATCAGGAGTGCCCATCATCCAGGATTATTATGAGAACATTTATAAGGACCTGGCTTTTAAAAGTGTGTGTTACAAGTAAATGGATGGAACTGAGAACGTCATCTTGAGTGAGGTTAGCCAGGCTCAAAAAGCCAAAAATCGTATGTTTTCTCATATGCAGACTTTAGATCAAGGGCAAATATAGCAAGGGGACTGGACTTTGGTCACAGTCCAGGTGAGAGCACACAAGGGAGGTATGGGATAGGTAAGAAACCCCACAAAACATGATAGCATTTGATGTCCTCAATGCAGAGAAACTAAAGCAGAAACTTTAAAGTGACAGAGGCCAATAGGAGAAGGGGACCAGAAACTAGAGAAAAGTTTAGTTCAAGAAGAATCAACTTAGAATGTAACAAACATGCACAGGAAAGCAATGCAAGTCAACTCCCTGTATAGCTATCCTTATCGCAACTAGCAA